ATTATACGCAATATATAATACAGCAAAAACAGCAACACCACGTTCAACAACACCATGAATACCACCACAATGAAGAACACCACAGTTCACATAAACATCATGTTGAACATCATACCAGTCAAAGTCATAGTTCTGGTGGACATGGTAGCAATAAACACCATCATTGGCATGGTAGTTCGGGGCATCAATCACATGATCAACACCATGCCCATTCTAGTATAGATAAAAGAATTGTTCATACTGATATAGGTAATAGTGGCAAAATCCATGCTAGTAAAGATACTGCAGCACATGGTCAACTTGTGCTTCCAAATCTTTCAAATGATCCAGGTCAACCAAATCTTCCAAATGATCCAGGTCAACCAAGTCTTCCAAATATTCCAAGTCAACCAAGTCTTCCAAATCTGGACCATCGCACTAATGGACATCACCATGATCATATTAGCACAGAGCATCATAGATCTGAACAGCATCATGATCATAGTGCCACAGAACATCAATTAATAAATGAGAGAGAGAGAGAGAGAGAGAGAGAGAGAGAGAGGCTATATAATATAATTTTTTAAACAGTACCAATTCTATGTAATTTAACATCTAATTAAATAAAGAATTTATTACTAATCTTAAATCTTATAACAAATAACTTTGACAAACATTCTTGCAAAATAATCAACAATAATTTTAATTAAGAGTGGATTCGTATAATAGTCCAAAATTAAACATTTAACCACATAAGTAATTAATTATTTGTCAATTAGAATATAAGATTACAGTTTGTAGACAACGACATAAAAAGCACTAGTTAACAATACTAAAAATGCAATTATGACACAACTAGAGCTGTGGTAAATACCTGGATGTGTTTGCGGCACTCGCGGAACCCTTCGGCCAGTTGTGTGACCACATTCTTATGCGTTTCCAACAGTTGTCTCAATAGATTTGAATATTCCTTTTCAGACTCCAAATCCGTAATCTGTTATCAACCAAAACATAATCAATAGATTAATTAAAACACACAATATTTATATTTCATTTCAATTGGATTACCGGCGGATACTCTGAGAGCATATAAAAGGCCCGGATATACATCTCATGGACGGCCAGTATTGTGGGATTACAGCCGACCAGGAATGGTAGGGCCCGGAAGCCAGCGATCCGGTGGGCGATACGCACGGGCAGCTCCTTTTGCAGGTATATGGCACTTCTCTACTCGTGATAAATGCAATTAATTAATATAAACATTTTTAATAAGTAAAATTAATTTTTTTTTTTGCATTGCAATGCAGTTAGATTATATTAAAATTAGCATAATCAAATAAATCATTGTATGTAAATCATTAAGTAAATATAATATATACAATTAATGACATTAATACATTACATAATAAATTACAATAGTTAAATTGGCATTTCTCTATTTTAACCCCTTTCATATTTATGCCTATTTCTATTCCTGTTCTCTAATGTATGGGTACTTCAAATATGGCTAAAAACTTAGAGTTGTTTACATAAAATCGCTACAATTTAACTAACTTATAAACAGGTTTATATCCTGTTTATTAGTGATAATTAAAAATTGTAAAAAATTGGTTTTGTAAATAGTTTTAAAAATCATTTAAATTATTGTAAAAATATATCATCAGCAAATATGTTTCTGTAAACAATTCGTATAAACAGTAAATAATTTTTTATAATCTTTTCATAAACTCAATAAATATTTTTATAATTACTTTAAAAGATAATGTTCAAATTAGGCCAATAGTGCAATCGGGAATTTTTGTTATAAATTGAAAGTGCACTTTCAAAGAAGTACGGTGGTATATTTTATTTGGCCAGACGACCTCGGGTTTGGCCGCAGTGACCATTCTTATCGGGAAAAATTTGACTATCAAATCTTTTATTTCATTAATAAGTATATCATATTATATATCAATGGAAAGGTATGGATGAGTGGAATAATATTCTGAAGGAATTTCCCAAATCCGACTTAATAGACAAAAGTTATACTAGAATTAAGAAATTCACTATTAATTTTGTACGTTATTTATGGCTTAGGGAGTTCTAATTTTAAATCATTTATATGAATATTAATTATAATTAAAATGATAATTAT